GGTAGGTCTATTATAATGTGCTAATATACTGTGCATACTAACACATTATGGCAAACAGCTACTATTTTGCTATGGTGATTTAGCCTGCACGTGTATTGAGCTTCAGCAGTTTGTTTTCTGGGCTGGGCAAGGAGAAAAGCAGTTCTATAGGAGGAGAAGTATTCATAAACTGTAAAAACACACGCAACAATATCCAAAAACTGCACGTCTGGCATGTTTACAGGCATTCCTGATGAAGTCTTTGGAAGAACATCCGAATGCGCTCAAAAAATGCTCAAGTACTTTTTTTGCTCATAATACAGCGTAGAGTGACTGAGTGCACAAGTGTGAACAGGGGCAATTAGACATAATGATATTCTGCATAGTCAGGTGTAGTATAGCATAGTTAAGGGTAGGGAACGAAGCAGGAAAATGCTCAAGTATAAATGGGTGCTTTCTTCCACCTGCTTGGGCTCATATCAGTGCGATGCAGTCAATCGCATGTGATTCGCACAGGAACCACACCGCATTCCTGTACAAATCACATGCGATTTATGTGCGGTGCGATCGGAGCCATACATTATGCATGGCTCTATTTGCTCCGCACCCGCACCAAAAACGTGCAGGACCCTTTTATGGTCCGCACTAGAATCGACCTGCATAGGTATTCACACCTATGCGATCCGATTCTGCACATCGCACCACGTTTTGCGGATCACTTTCGGGGTCTTGTTAATTTAACATACACACCTGCAGCAGTTCGCATGAACGGGGTGTGATTCTGATGCGGTGCAGAATTCGCACTGAAAACGCTGTGTACTCTGCACTGCATCAGTGTGAACCAGGGCTTAATATAGTAGAGGATCCTATGGAAGGCCTTGGCTTATAACATGCCAAATATAATGTAGGAAAAACGATTATATTGAAATACCTTACAATCATGAAACAGAGCTGAATTCAAATTCTAACTTTTTAAACCAGTGTAAACTTATGTGATGATTTTAACTGTAAAATATTCAGATTTAGAATTGCTTTCCATTAAAAATAGCTCTGGTATGTGTCGGTGTGGGATGGCAATTTATTTGTTACTAAATCAAACCTTGTACCCGGAGTATCTTGGACATTATGTCACATGCATAACATAACAATAAACATAGCCATGAGAATTATATTTTTACCTCTGGTAGCTGGAGGCTCATTGCATCCTGTCGTGGCTGCCAGTGGATGTCATTCTGTAAAACTTTTGCTGTTTTTTCGAGATGAAGCATTTCTAAGCTTTGGCTCAAAGTTTCAGAATTTTTATCAGTCAACAGGAAGCCTGACTGTGTCAGTTTGCTCTGTGATTGCTTAGAACTACAAAAGGAAGCAGCAGTTTTGGTTTCATAGCTTTTTAAAAGCTTTTCAACAACCCCATAGTTAGATCTAGAATCAGCTGATCGAGGCCGCCCTGACAAGTTGATTCTTTTCCAGTTGTGTTCTTGTAGGACATTTTGGTAGCTACTTACATTTTGAGGACCAGTTGTCTGGCTGGGGAGTGCTGCTTTTCACAGTCTTAAAAGGCTTACAAAGACTGTTGTTCAAACAAAACTGTTCACTGGTGTCAGGTACTTTAACTAGTTGGATCATCTCAGTGGCTTTCTCAGTGGTTGGACATTCACACTTCGGTAAACGTGATGGCTTTTTCTCCACAGGCAGTTCCACATCTAATGATTCATCAGAAACGAATTTCCTTTGCCAGTCTTAAATACAATCCTATTAAATTCATCGATCTTGTCTGCTAATTTTCCATTCTTTATTGTGTTAACATAGTTATATCCAGAGCCTGTTGCGGAATGTTCTAGCATCATCATATCAGGGTATAAATCAATCGAATGGCAATGTCCATTTCTTGACACTGAGGCATTTTGCTTGTTCATTTCTGGAGTTAAGCTGCTGACATCTGTTATGTTGTTAAACAAAGCCTCTGTTAAGCTCACTTCTTCAAGTCCTCCAATGTCACACAACCACTGAACGTGACATATTTCATCGTTATATCTGTCCAGGCTAAAGTTTGAAGTTTGCTCCTTACTTGCCATACAACACTGGTTCATATTAATGGATGATTTCTTATTGATGTCAGGAAATATAGAACCTGTTAAATCTACTGAGAAATTCCAGGATGGCAAATTGCAATCTTGAGCTTCTAAGGGATGAACGCCTATCTTGGAATTCTGAGTCAAGCTGGATGACTTAGATTGTATTTGTGCATTGCTGCTTAAATTGTCCTTTTGCTTGATTCTAGACGTTTTCGAAAAATGAACAGGATTCCGGTCTGTTTTCATATTCAGTTTTTTTCTGGAATCCCCATCATCTGGACCTGCCACAATCCTAAATGTAAGAAAATACCGGTAATATATTATATCATTATTACCAACCTCTTACAAAATCATAATTTCAGTTCTATGAATGGGAAAAAAACAAAAATCCAGTATAAACTAAAATATACCATAGTGCATGAACAGACTGTCCAACACTCTTTTGTCGCATATAAATGTTATTGTCTTCAATTTAGTGGCATTTTGACAGAATATTTTTCTTGTGCTTGGGCAAATGGGTAGTCTAGAGATGTCCATATACATGAATTCACATTCATAATGTTAATAAATTCATAATAATATTAAAGTTTGGTTATTTGATTTTTTAAATATTGAAATCACAGTTCTTTCTTGGTCTTATATTACATGCATGGCAAGCAGTATTTATAGTCACACCCACCGAGGAAGCCCGCAACGATGAAGCTTGTCAGTACACGTGACATCATCAAGGGGGAAAGCCCGCAGCTCGTTATCAATCAGGATTCTCTTAATGGAAAGACCACCACCTAATTTGGTGAGACTGTTCCTTACCCCTCATTATGCAAATAGACTCTTAATACGTCTGCCATGTCAGTGTGTTTGTGCACTGAACCCTATTTATCTACTATGCAACTACCTTTTGTACCACTAGCCCCTCCCCCCTAGATTGTAAGCTCCAAGGAGCAGGGCCCTCCTATCCCTCTTGTATTGAACTGCATTGTTACTGTATTGTCTTCCTTTATATTGTAAAGCGCTGAGAAAACTGTTGGTGCTATATAAATTCTGTATAATAATAATAATAGTGTGGGACTTTCCCAACAAGACTGTAGTCTCTGAGCACCATGAAACAAATCTGGAGGTACTTTCAGCGTATACAGTGGGGCAAAAAAGTATTTAGTCAGCCACCAACTGTGCAAGTTCTCTCACTTAAAAAGATGAGAGAGGCCTGGTGCAGGTCTACAATTTTGTTTCTGGTGTCCTTCGACAGCTCTTTGGTCTTCACCATAGTGGAGTTTGGAGTGTGACTGTTTGAGGTTGTGGACTGGTGTCTTTTATACTGATAACAAGTTCAAACAGGATCCATTGATACAGGTAATGAGTGCAGGACAGAGGAGCCTCTTAAAGAAGAAGGTACAGGTCTGTGAGAGCCAGAAATCTTGCTTGTTTGTAGGTGACCAAATACTTATTTTCCACCATAATTTGCAAATAAATTCTTTCCAGATCAGCCAATGTGATTGTCTGGATTTTTTTTCTCATTTTGTCTCTCATAGTTGAGGTCTACCTATGATGCCAATTACAGGCCTCTCTCATCTTTTTAAGTGGGAGAACTTGCACAATTGGTGGCTGACTAAATACTTTTTTGCCCCACTGTACTTTTCATGTTTTTGGACACCATTGGACAGCCTTGCTTTTGTAGGGGTCTGCAAGGTTTAAGCTTCAGAGACATATTATTATTATTAATATTATACAAGATTTATATAGCGCCAACAGTTTGCTCAGCACTGTACAATATAAAGGGAGACAGTACAGCAACAATACAAGAGGGTCAGGTTCTAAGCGGAAGGGGCTGGTGGTACAAAAGGTAATAACTGTGGGGGATGGACTGGTAGAAGGAATAGAAGATTCCATTATTAGCTGAAGGCAGGATAGGCTTCCCTGAAGAGATTGGTTTTCAGAGATCGCCTAAAAGCAATACACACCAAACTGAGCATGTGCATGTGACCACGGGTTCAGTCTGTATCAGGTGGTCATTTCAACAAGAGGAGGGGCAGAGAAGAAAGGATCAAATAGACTTTTTACACAATGCAGAGGATTAACCACTTAGGTTCCACAGTGAGTATAACAAGCATGCGTTACTGCATATACAGACTGATTTTACTGTTGTGGATTTAGTAACACTTTAAAGTTCAGCTCCATGACTCTCTCCAACCCCAAATCCAGTATTCAGTATATCCAAGGTCATCATCTCTTCTTTGACTGGAAGGTCCTTACTAGTGGTGCACCGAAATGAAAATTCTGGTGCCGAAACCGATACAGAAAATTCAGAATGCATGTGACCGAAAACCGAACCGAAATGTCTGCGTATGTGGGGGTGGGGAGGCTCCAAATTTTTTGTTTTAAATTTCTGCTTTCATGTATATTTTTATTTATTTTTTTTAACTTATGATTTTATAGTCCCCTATGTGATAGCATATAAGTGACAGGTCCTCTTTGTAGGGGGGCATTGTGTGCAAGGAGGGGGCAGGAGAGGAGCAGTTATACAGTGAGGAAGCAGTGTATACAGAGAGGCTCCCTCACTGGCTGTTACTATATGTCAGTGCCTGTTTTTAACCACTTGCCTACAGGGCACTTATACCCCCTTCCTGCCTAGGCCAATTTTCAGCTTTCAGCGCTGTTCCACTTTGAATGACAATTGCGCAGTCGTGCAACACTGTACCCATATGAAATTGTTATAATTTTTTTTCACACAAATAGAGCTTTCTTTTGGTGGTATTTAATCACTGCTGGGTGCTTTATTTTTTGCGCTATAAACAAAAAAAAGCAAAAAATTTGCTGATAGGTAGCACTGATATGCGGCACTGATGAGGTGGCACTGATGAGGCAGCACTGATGCTGCTGCACTGATATGCAACAATGATGGGTACTGATAGGCAGCACTGATGGGCACTGATAGGTGGCACTGACTGGTGAAACTGCTGGACACTGATGGGTGGCACTCCTAGGCACTGCTGGGGACAGGTGGGTGGCACTGCTGGGCACTTGTGGGTGGCAATGCTAGGAACTGATCATCAGGGCACTGATTATCAGTGCCCTGATGATCGGTGCCGATCCGTCCTCTGACAATTGCCGGTTATTGGCAGTACTTTCCACACTCTGTGACAGCGTGAGGAAAGTGCAGGCAATAACTGGCAACTGTATTTACCAGTGATCTGCTGTGTCATTGGACACAGTTGATCACGTGTTAGAAAGTCCGTTGTGATTGGCCTTTTACCTCATCACGTGATCAGCTGTGTCCGTAGGACACAGCGATCACGAAGATCGCCGGGTACATGCCCCCGGGGGCGCACAGGAGGGCGTGTTCTGGGAGGACGTCATATGACGCCCTCTCAGAACTGAACAATCACGCTGTAGCCGTCATTCGGCTATAGCGCAGTTGGCAAGTGGTTAAATGCAATTGCCGGCTTTTTTTTTTTTCACCTTAGCTGTCATTTTTGGGAGCTAAAGGAAACTTTGTTTCTTTTCACTCGGGAAAGAAACTAAAAAGATACTTTAGTTTCTTTTAGCTGGGGAAAGTGACAGCTGATTCTCTGAGCTATAGTGAAGGGGAAAAAAAAAAAACGGCAATTGCATTTAAAAACCAGCATATAGTGACAGCCAGTCACTGTATACACTGCTCCTCTCCTGCCTTTCTGTGCCACCCCCCCCCCCCCTCACATCTGCAGTACACACAGTCCCCTGTATCGGCACCTGTATCGGATAAATTTTTCCTATTGGCTAAGTGCCGATAGAGCTATTATTGGCTGATATGTCTCAGTCGCCGAAATTTCAGTGCATCCCTAGTCCTTACTGATGCAGACAGCAGTACTGACGTGATGACATCAGCATGCTCTTTGCACCAGTAGACTGTAAATAAAGGGTGCCCTGGTGGGGCCCGCTCAAGGGGCTGGGTAGTGATACCCTGTGATATGTGCTCAACTGCTCAACCTGATAGACTGGGGACATCTTGTGCTGAAGAAAAGCTACTCCGGGGGGTGCAGCTCCGGACTTCAGGTGAGCTGCTTTTCTTTTCCTTTTTCTTTTTTTTTTTTGCAACACTTGGGGATGGTTTAAAGAAATCAAAAATAGTCTGGCATTTCACAGCAAATTAAGATGTTCACTGTAATGCCATACTTAGTCTCCCATAACATTTTGTTTGCCAGCAGGGACAAGGAGAAGTCATGTGTCCTTTCTTAGGCAAATCACAGGTTCACTTTAAGTTGCTTATGTCTCTATAAGCTATTAAAGTAAGAAATGTACCATCGGGAACATGTTGAAATGTGTTTGTTGCCATGGGGGGAGCTGATGTGACAACATGCATATCTGTTTATGTGTGCCAGTGCTAGGACTTCTGTCAGGAAGCTGCATTCCCACAGACACAGTATAGCTTTGTTTCTATCTCTCCCATGACAACCATCAAAGTTGGAACATTGCACAGAGTTATGGATAACACTTTGTATGTGCCAAACAGTGGACATGGCACTTAAATTAATCAAAAGAGACATACAAAATAAAACAAAAGCAATCAATAAGTGGAGGTCAGCGTTTTATATTATATATAGTCTTCTCTAACTCCAGATGCGTTTTATAAAAATCTGTCAACTGCTGCCAAAAAAAGCCCATCTATTTTGTATGACTAAAATGATTTTTAGTTAAGACACAAAGACCTCTTTCTTAAAATACTTTGCTTATAAGCCAACACTCTGCCCTTTCCCTAAAGTGAAATGCACGGGTATAAACAGATTTTTCTTCTGGGAAAATGTGATTACTGATACGAATCCAAAGAATATTTCTTGAGTACATCTTTTGAACAGCTTGGAAACATCATAATGCTTCAACAGTGCTAATGTTCCTTGATGTTCTTCTCTTATCTGCATGTCTTGTGATAAATTTACATGAATATGTGTTCCAAAACTGAAATCTTACTGCTTAAAATGGACTGTAACACGATGATCTATACAGCTTGATTTTTGATAAGACAACACATTTGAATATCACAGCAAAGGGGGAGATTTACTAAACCTTGAGCACTCAGAATCTGGTGCAGCTGTAAATGATAGCCAATCAGCTTCTAACTTCAGCTTGTTCAATTAAGCTTTGACAATAAAACCTGGAAGCTGATTGGTTTCTGTGCAGATTAGTACAGGTTGGACAAAGTATGTGTACGTATGAATGTGAGTTAGGGACTTTAGATTGTATGCCCCTTGAGGGTTAGGGTCTGATGTAAATGTAATATATATGTAAAGCGCTGTGTAAATTGACGGCACTATATAAGCACCTGAAATAATAATAATGCAACACCCCTCTGCTGCAGAACATACTCACCTTTCCTTTACTTCCTCACTACTATGTTCCACCACACAGTAGGGTGGATTTACTAAAACTGGAGCACTCAGAATCTGGTGCAGCTGTAAATGGAAGCCAATTGGCTTCTAATTTCAGCTTGTTCAATTAAGCTTTGACAATAAAACCTGGAAGCTGATTGGTTTCTATGCAGATTAGTACAGGTGGGACAATGCAATGCCCCTCTGCTGCAGAACATACTCACCTTTCCTTTACTTCCCCACTGCTATGTTCCACCACACAGTAGGGTGGATTTACTAAAACTGATGCACTCAGAATCTGGTGCAGTTGTGCATGGCAGCCAATTGGCTTCTAACTTCATCTTGTTCAATTAAGCTTTGACAATAAAACCTGGAAGCTGATTGGTTTCTATGCAGATTTGCACCAGATTTTGCACTTTCCAATTTTAGTAAATCATCCCCTAGTGTCACTAACTTGGTTGAAGTGTTACATTTCAAGAAAGTCAACATTTCTTATTTGCATACTTCTTAAGGGTTAGTGATCTAAATTATTGAAGGCAGAAGTCAACGTGACAGCCAGACAAATGGCCTTTGCAAAATGAGAAGTCAGCAGTGGCAGAGCTGCACCAGATTTTACAGCTCTCTCCAGTTTTCATAAATCTCCCCCAATGTGTTTTAAAGGACCAGTAAACAGAAATTTAGAATTTTATGTAAGAGAACAACATACACTATTACAAATGCAATTGCAGAAGTAATGCTACAAGATGTATACTGTAAAAATATACATATTAGTTCATTATGAATAACTTTTGCATCTGTAATTCATCACATCTTTTTTTTTTCATCATTTTTAAAGGAGAACTTGTGGGCACCAACTCACAAAAAGAACATTGGGGAACTGGAGAAGGTACAGAGAAGGGCAACCAAACTGAAAAGAGGCATGGAGGAGCTCAGCTATGAGGAAAGGTTAGAGGAACTGAATTTATTCTCTCTTAAGAGGAGATTAAGGGGGGATATGATCAACATGTATAAATACATCAGTGGTTCATATAGTGAACTCGGTGTAAAGCTATTCACCCTGAGATCATCATAGAGGACAAGGGGGCACTCTTTACATCTGGAGGAAAAGAAATGTAATCTCCAAACACGGAAAGCTTTCTTCACAGTAAGAGCTGTGAAAATAGTGGAATAGACTCCCTCAAGAGTTGGTTCTGGCCAGCTCAGTGGATTGCTTTAAAAAAGGCCTGGATTCTTTCTTAGATACACAGAATATAACTGGATACTAACATTTATAGGTAAAGTTGATCCAGGGAATATCCAATTGCCTCTCGGGGGATCAGGAAGGAATTTTTTTCCCTGCAGGAGCAAATTGGATCATGCGTTGCTGGGTTTTTTTGCCTGGTCCACATTGGAAGAAGAGAATATTATCTTGGGCTACATATAAAATATGCTAACAATAAGTATAGCTGATGAGCAGAAAGTTGGGCAGATCACAAGGTAATGATCACTGATACAGATAATGTACCTATCTGAGTAATACAACTTCATTTTTTTTTTGTAGAATTTTATTATAAAAAGTAAAAAGGGCAACATAAAACTAGTGAGCTTTTCGACAGTGTTTTTGATAAAGGAATGCATCAATATCGATGGATGTAATAACAATTCTCAGCTTTCCTTAATTCATTCCACTGTCCCTGAAACACCATGTAATCCAAAGCATTCACTTTGATAGAAGAGGTAGGGTTTCTGTCTGTACATCTCTGGTAAGAGGTACGCTACTTAGCCCTAACAAAGTATTATGCTCTCCAGATTTGGATCTCTGTCAAGTTTCCTTAACTCAGGGGGTGTCCAACCTTTTAACTTTCCTGGGCTACATTGGAAAAAGAGGAATTGAATTGGGCCACACATAAAAAACACTAACAATTAGCCCTCATGCACACTGGACTTTTTGATAACGTTAGCTGTGTAAAGTCACGTTAAAACGTGAGTTTTTCAGCTTTTTTTAGCATTTTTGCATTAGTGTTTAGCTGAATTTTCCCACTTTTTTTAGTTTTTTTTTTTACCCAGAAACATTTTTTTTCTTTGGTCAAAAAAAAGTCCAAAAACACCGGTTTGCGGCGGTTTACCACGTTTTGCTGCGTTAGAGCGTTTTACAGCTAAATAACTGCTCTAGAAACCCACTAGTCCTGGATTTTTTTCAGCCAAAAAATGCTGATTACAGTCTATGTGTGCATGGACACAGGATAACATGCTGTGGGGTTTACTAGCTGTAGAAAAAAAAACCGTCAAAAGCCAAAAACAGCAGCTGTAAAAACATCAAGTGTGCATGAGGGCTTAGGATAGCTGATGAGCAGAAAACGTTGGGCAGATCACAAGTTAAGGATCACTGACATAGATAATGTACTGATCTGAGTAATAAAACTTCATTTTTTTTTTATTATAAAAGTAAAAGAAGGCAAAATAAAACTACTGCAATATTTGACAGTGTTTTTGATAAAATAACAAATCAATATCTGGTTGGATGGATGTAGTAGCAATTTGTGATAAATATTCAAGGTGCTCATCAGATATTTTGGTTTTAATTTTGTCCTTCATGTGCTTCATTCTTGAAAATAGTTATATAAGGGTTTACAACCACTTTAAAGCATCTACATAGGTAATCATTATTATTTGCGATGCTGAAAATGTAAATGCCTAATATTAAATCTGTCATATAACTTGGTTTGTTCAAAATGATATTTGATCACTGTTAGCACATATATAATCTGTGATTAAATAAACAAAAATATT